ATGATAATGCTGCTCCATTTCGGATGGGTGTGTAATTAGTAAACTGTTCCTGGAAAGGACTATAAAATCAATTAATGTGACCACAGCTTTGCAAAACAGGAAGTGACTTGGACCCTTCTGTGCTGTAGGTTATATAATACTGTCAAAAAGTGGATATTTAATTTAAAAAGATGAAACTTTGGCTCAGATTTGATGGACAAGATTTATTAAGTTAATTCCACAACAATAATGGATGTAACGCTGCTTATGATGCCATTAATTATAATCCTGGTTATTTGTTGTGTCTCACTACTCCACAGTTAATAATCCTGATATACTCATGGCAGTATGTAGTACAAGATGAAATATGTACTCAGTGTCTTTGTTGATCAGGTCACAGTGTGAGTCATGTGTTCGGTTGAACTTGGCATGTTTGTGTAATGCATTAAATGAGCTTTGACACAGACAGGAATGGCGCTTTCACATTTTTCAGTCCAATCATACGCACACACACACACACACACCCGTCCACACACACCCCTTTAAATTTAGATTAAGTTGAGTGTGAGTGAATGATACACAGCATAGAGAGAGGCGACCTTTAGCATATGGAGTCAGAGTGGCAAGTATTTGTTGATAATGAGTAATTCCATTCTATTATAAGTGTGTGTGTGTGTGTGTGTGTGTGTGTGTGAGAGAGAGAGTGGGAGAATTAGATAGAGAGGAGGATGATGCAATTGATGCAACTTTTTTCATTATTTCACAACTAGTTTGTAAAACATTGTGGTTTATAGACAAATCCATCGTTATCTGGTCAATTGTCACCTAAGATACTGGGAGAAAAGAACAATGCGGCAGCCGGTCGGCCCCCAGTTGTTTTGATTTTCATCATCCCTCAGCCAGAGTGCCTGGCGTCATGCTCTCATGTTGTAATCTATCTCTGCAGTGCTGAGTGCTGCTGGAGTGTCATTGGGCAAGACACAGGATCCCAATCAGCTGCAGGCACATGGCTGACCTGACCTCCGCAGGGTTCAAAGACTGATTTCCTTTATTCAGAAAAAAAAGACAATTTTTTGCACGTTACTTAATAATCTCTTGAAGGTTATTTAACAAATTTATCACATTGATGGAAGATGTGGCTAATTTTCAAACCAAAATGAAACCAAAACCCCTGTTATGTGTGACTTTTAGTTGCTGACTAACAAGAATTCAGCCACCAGGACTAATTTTAAAAGCCAACGCAATCATCAGTCAAGCCCACGTGTCTCTGACTGACTCTAACACACGAAGTGGGACCTTTAGGCCTTTGTGAATACTGGGGATGACTGTCGATATTTGGTGTCCAGACTCCAGCTCAGGCAGCACCTCTCTTCGGTTGCAGCCCTCAGGCTATTTATGGTGCTCTTCTCTTCGCACCATGTCGCCATTAGGCCCACATTCCCTCATGCCGAAACATCCTCTTATAGTCTCTTGACTGGGGTCAAGTGGCGCTCAAAATATCTCTTTGATAGCTATAACATACGCAAGTGAAGGATGGAAGGAAAGTTTATTTACATAGCACAAATCCATGCATAAAGACAGTTGTAAGTGCTTTGTGTAATAAATAAAATACATAGAGCGATTAGAAATGTAATACTTACAATAAATGGAAATGAGATCTAGATGTAACATGTTCTACAAAACAAAGAGCTGGTGAACCAGAGTAGCTCAACCTCTTTTATATTCCTGATCAGGTTGACGGGCCATAATCTTTAATGGAAGAGATGATTTGTTTTTGTAATCAAAGATGCTTTTATTCAGAGGCCACATGTGGGACAGATATATGCAAAGCCTCTGACAGTATTTCAAGCAGATACATTTTTAGCATGACATGCGTGCCTGGTGTGCTTTTCCTTCTATTTCTCGCTGAGGACGTCACATGGAACCCCACCGTGGAATTTAAGAAGTACAGCACGAGAGAAGCACGTCAAGTAAAGTAGGACTGCCCTACTTTACTGGCAGTTTTGTTTGAAGAAATGACTTAAATAATCAATCGTTAAATAATTGCCTGTTAATCGACTGATCGTTGGCAGCTCCGTGTCTGTTCTGTGGGCTGAGCTAGTGTTAATCGTGTACACCCTCGCCTGCTGCTGTCCAGCGTGAGTGACTGTCAGCACAGCATAGCCGGGAGAAAAAACTGCAAATTGAACCCGATTCCAATTCACATACCCAACGCTTGTTAAGACTTGTTGCCAGGTGGAAGAGCCCACAGAGAGATGATCAAATGTTAAACCACACACTGGCTTGAAACTTTTTTTTATCCATTATGTATCAGCTGCACACAGTTCAAACATTTCAATAGAACTGCAACGTTGCTAGAGGATATTTTTGTCCCACTTCGGTTGTGCCGCTCTGATTGGTCAGACGTCCCTTTATCTTCACCCCCCCCCCCCCCGTCAGTTACCTGATGTGGCCTTAGTGGTGGACACTTGTCTGCTGTGCTGCCTCCTTATCTGCTATCACATACGCTCAGCAGTCAGCAATATGAGCCTGTGTTTAGCTCTCAGATATTAGCTGGTTAGCATGACAGGATGCCTTTTATAATGAAACACTGGGTGCTGGGTTTGCAGATTGGCTAACAGTGAAACCAGGTTGTGCCTGTCAGTGCAGCTTCATTAGTTGTGTTCTCAGCTGCGAAAATGAATGGCCGTTAACGTGACCTTGAACCTGAATGTTATTTATATATATGTGTATATATATATATATATATATATATATATATATATATATATTAACCGAAGCAGTTAAAAAGGTCCTGTTGGTCGGGTGGCTACAGGAAGTAAAATGTGTTTAAACAAATGTGCTGCATGATCTAAACTGAGAGCAGAATAATTTATTTGTTTTTAAATTACTAACATTTAACAGTCACTACAAAGTTCTTGTGCACTGGAAAGTTTTATTTGCAGGCGTCAATAAAACCAAATAATCCATACTGAATCACTTGAAAGGTGAAAAGGCTGGTTTTATTGCGCGGTTATTCAAAGCACTTCACAATCTGCCGCTCTGTCACACAAACGCCAATGGCAGCAAGCCACCGAGCGAGGTGCAATTTGAGTTTAGTGTCTTGTCCAATGATTCTTTGACATGAGGACAGGAGCAGCTGGGAGATCTGAGTTATAAAAAGAAGATGGTACTGGACCACAAAAAGTAGATGTCAGGAAGATTCCTCTGACCTTTTAACCTTCTTCATTTAAGTAGAGGAAGAGAAGCCAGGGAGGAAAGGTGGAAAGAACAGAATTTTAAGTTTAAGAAACACTTTTTTATTTTGTGAAGAAAGCAAGACAAACGGAGTGAAATCCCAAACACACAGCTCATATTTGGAGTCAGAGAATATCCTCTGATCGTACTTGTATTAACAGTTCTGGGTATAATCTTCAAGGGAATATTCCAGGGAGTTTGTTCGTGAACGGCACATGGTGAAAGGTGATATCGTGTCATTATCTGCTGACCGCTCATATCTAACCAGCACAGCCAGAGAATCAATGATTAACAAAACCCAGTCATGTGTGTAAAGGGAGTTTTCCACACCAGTGTTTTTGGTCAAAATGTTATTATGGTGTTATTTGTTGGTGTTTTACCCACCAGAGACAAAGTGAACCATTAATCGGTGACTGTGTCTGATCTTTATTTCAGATCCTGCTTGTTTCACAGTCCTGGTGCTGTTAGTGATCATCACTATTTTGCAGTCTGTTGACAGTGGTCAGCAGTGTGTTAAATATATAAAATGAATAGTTATTGGTTGGTTTCTAGTCAGGCTGAAAATACATGCTTTGGCTGTGACTATACCAGCATGGTGTGTGCCCTGCTGATGCCCCCCCCCCCTTTATTTGGCTTCAGTCTTGTTTACACCTTGTTTTGATTTGATCACAATTGGGCAGCTCGGGGAAAAAAAGACTTAAAAACAAGTACAAACTTTCCAAGAAGATAAGAAATGAAAATAAGAAATGTTATCACAAAAAGTCCATTTAAATTTGAGACATATTTTAGCTCTTATCTGCGAACAGCCACAGTTTAGATGGATCATAGATTAGCAAACTTCCAGTAAAGGGGTGGTGTTCTTGACATGCCTCATAGAAAACAGTAGATAGGTGTGATGCCAGGTTGGACCTTCAGCTCCTCCAGCTGTGCAGATGTGTGTGCAGCAGCATGTTTACATGATACTATAACTTTAAGCCCTATAACTTTGAGCACAAATGTCTGTTAGTTGATGAAAAGCCTTGAAAACAGCTATTAGACGAGCCTCTGGTTTCTGCGCTGGGAAAAATGTGTATGATTCTGTCTGGGTCTCCAGTTTTTTTCTTTTTTGGTGGTCAAAGGTCAAAGGTCAAGATCATGTGACCTCACAAAACAAGTTTTTGGCCTCTTTAATGTAATATCCCAAGATGGCCTTGAGGGAATCTCCTCAGATTTGGCACAAACGTTCACTTCTGGATGAGTTTGGATGACAAAGGTCAAAGTTCAAGTTCATGGTGACCTCATGTGAATGCGATATATCAGGAACGTCCAGAGGGAATTTCATTACATCTCCCACAAACATTCACTTGGACTCAAACGTGAACTAAATACAATTTGGTGGTCAAAGGTCAAAGGTCAAAGGTCAGTGTGACCTCACAAAACAAGTTTTTGGCCTTGACTCACAAATTCCTACTCTAATTATGACACAAATGTCTAATAGTTAACCTATTCCTAGACATTTGTGTCATAATTAGAGTGATGAAGTGATGACATTTTATATCCAAGCGGTCAAAGGTCAACTTCCCTGTGACATCATAATATTCTGCAAAAACACTTCTGTCCATCATCCAGCGCTGTAACTGAGGAGGGGGAGATTGTGAACACATTTCCTGTAACTTGGCCAGTTGTTGGAGGGATACAACCCGATTTAAATCAGTTTAAAAGAAACAAAAGGAAACGGTTCAGCAGCTTTTCAGAATTAAGCTCCTCACAGCTGTTGACATGCTTGTTCTTTTGTCTGTTTTCAGGTTCAACCCTCCTGCTCCTTCCCTTCTTCATCCCCTCCCCCCACTGGCTTCTGTTCCCCAGAGGGCAGAGCTAAGTATGGGGTAAGAGAGTCGAGAGGGGACGCAAAGACGAGACGCGCTGAGGAGGCCCACACCTGCACAGGTAAGATTCCACACTGTGAACAGGTCCATGAGTCTCTTACACGCAAAGTGCTAGTTTCAGATCGACGCAGTTGTAATTTCTCCATCCAGCACCCACATTGTTTAAAAAGCAAAAACACTTGCGCTTATCTGTGCACCTATGGGTGTGTTGGTCTTAAAAAGGAGGTGTGGTCAGGCTCATTGTTGGCACATTGCTATCTTGGGGCAGCGGAAAGTAATCGACCAACAAAAACCTGGTCTTGAGTCAGTGGCGCAGTATTTCCCTGCTATTAGGGCGCATTGTTGAAAGAGTAACGTGCCAACATACACGGGCCTTTACTTCAGAGCAACTGTAGAGCTGTGAACAGCACATTTATTCACTCAGCCCCTCTTTGCACCTCAGAGTCACAGAGTTGCTGCCTCTGTCAGGACTGGGCTCACTGGTCAGGACTGGACTCACTGGTCAGGACTGGGCTCACTGGTCAGGACTGGGCTCACTGGTCAGGACTGGGCTCACTGGTCAGGACTGGACTCACTGGTGAGGACTGGGCTCACTGGTCAGGACTGGGCTCACTGGTCAGTCACAATATGTGATCAAATAGAAGCTAATTCTGTAAAACACTGAAACACTATGATAGCAATATGCCAAGGTGCAAGTGTGCCTGGCTTTTAAAGGGAATGGGAGATGTCACTGTGATTGGTTTATTGAGTGTTACACCCAAAACACTCCCATGAATAATTGAGAGATTAAGTACAACCCTTTGAACCGTGCACTTTGAGCAGTGAGTGTTTTTCCAGCATTAAAATAGCAATACAGACATGGACACGCCCTCGCTTCGGACCAGCTTTGGATCTTTAAAATAGAGCCCTCTCTCTCTTATGCACACACACACACACACACACAATCACACACAATCACACACCCTTAAAACCAGCTAATGCTATTGTTTTCTGCTGTCTCTCGCCCATCCCCAGCCAGGTGAGATGCTCCACCTCATTTTATCAGGTAGAAACCACAACAGTCAAACACAGTCTGGCATTGTCCAGTAGTTTGCTGCCAGATCTAATCAATGTGCCACAGCACTGCTGTCTGTGCTGATCACTGACACTGCAAACAGCATCAAAGTCCATCTGGCCCAGTGTTATTGTACAGATCCAACCTGCACCATCCATGATTGTTGAAAATAGTCTGTTTTAAGAGGTTAGTGGGGAGCCCTGCAAACACCGCCGGGTTAAAGGATTCATTTCACATTATTGGTTATTCAAAATGAGACCATCACAGCTGAAGTTGGTAACTTCTGTGAGTTTATGCTGTTTTTTCTCTCACAAAATGTTCGCTACTGACCTACGGTGCAACTAGAGAACCTCAGACAAAAGAAGGAGAAGATTCACTTAGAATTACTACAGAAACCCATTTTACACAGAAATCCCAAGTCAACAGAATAATTGTCTCATTTACATTACTGTTTTCCTGTAGATTAGCATGTCAGTACCATGGAGAGCATTGAACCAAAAAATAAAAAGGATCCGAACCAGTGATGCCAAAAAGCTTCTTCTGAAGCTGCCTCCAGCTGGAGCTATAAAGGCAGAAATATTTGTCTACATGAGAAAGCTCAAGTCAAAGTTTACACAGGTGGGTGTAGGGTTGTTATGGATGGTTAACTTGAAGATCATGTATGTTTACACTAGTTTGCATTGACTAACACACAAAGAATTTCCTGATTTCTAACCAACCCAAATAACATCACAGTCAATGTAAGCACAGTGTTGCACAAGTGCTGTTAATAAAAGGTCTAGGGTAAATGTTAACTCTTTTATAGCACAGCCTCAGGAAATGTTTGTATCTGATTGTTTTGGAGCTCCATGTTAAGATCAGGGCACTCATAAAACGGGTCTACATCAGTGCTGCAAATGACAGCAGCTGCATAGTGATGGTTTAATACCATAAGCTGGATTTATACTATTGCATTATAATGTACCTGCGTTGGTCACATGCCTAGCCTCTCACCGATACACTGTGAGATACGCCGTGCTGTCTCCCCAGAAATGTAACTACCAATCGGGGCAAGGGCGTCAACAGAGATACCCCATAACAACAACAGCTACTGTGATTGGATGACCTTCACTGTCATGGCAACAAAAATAAACACACAGTTAAGGTTGTGGACCAGTCATGGATAGAAGAAACAAAACTATTGGCTCACACAGGAAACAAACTGTCATCGATCCATCCCTCCACCCAACCTCCTCCTCCTCGGACGTCAGGCGACTTCCTCTTTTAACCCCGTCATAATTACTCTGACAGTCACTAGAGGTCGTATAACCATAAATCATAACTGTAGGTCGTAAAAAGCAGAGTCTGAACATCTTGTTGCACCGTTATGGCTTTTGCAAAAATCTGCAAAGAGACGACCACAAGTTTAAAACCACAGCAGCAGCCTGACGGAAAGTTGGGGGTCTGCATGTGAATATTGGCGGAAAAAACACTTAATGTGAACTTAACAACTTAATGTGATGAAGACTCCTTCAGTCTGCTCTCACAGCTGAGACAAAGTCTTCTGCCCAGCCACAGATGGTCCATCTGGCTGGTGCAGGTAGGTGTATGTGAAGCCTCAGACTACTGACGGTTAATTAGACGTCGACGTCTGGAAGCTTTTGTCTTGTCAACATGTTGTTTAGCTTTCATCTTTAGAACCCCTCCCCACCACCAACACCAGCTCATTTCCCAGAAGTCTTCTTGTTTGTATGGGGGAACAGCGGACAGGAAAGCTTAATTATCCATGAGCAAAAGAAGATACCGAAAAGGAGGGGGGAGGGGGGGGAGGGGGGGCGGGGAGGGGGGTGGGGGGGCGAAGAGGAGAGGATATGTCTCTGCTTGGTGTTGTTGGTGATACAACACTGATGCACGGTCAGGATTATCTATCATCATCTTGTGTTAATGTTATTTGCCTTTTTCTCAGTAAATATGAAATTCAAGAGAAAGGAGGGAAGATGGCGAGGAGGAGGAGGAGGTCAGACAGAGGAGGAGAGGAAAAGGGGAGGAGGTAAACAGGACAGGGAGTAGGAACGAGAGCAAACAGGAGCGCAGCAGTGCAGACCTGTTGCTAGGAGGCTGAGAAAGCAACACAATACAGCGGCAGGAAGGACACATGCAGCGGTGCAGAGGAGGGAAAACTGTCTGTTATTCAGTTTAACTCCTCAGATAGAGTTTGTTCACAATTTAAACAGTTTACGTTTCATCTAGTGTTATTCATATTTTTATCAGAGAACAAAAACTTTGCTTAACATTTTGTTTTTGTGTGTGTGTGTGTGTGTGTGTGTGTCCTGTTTCTTTATATCCGTACCTCTTGCTGTCTCTCTCCAGTTTGCATCATGATACCAATTGCTGGGATTTCCAATCGATTAGTTGATCAAGAGAAAACGAATCACCAACTTTTTGATAAAGTGTGAATTGTTTCAGTAATTTTTCAACAAAAAATACCAATTATGAAGATTTTCAGCGTTTTTACCACATGATAATGAATTAAATATTTTTTGTACATTTGGTTGGATAAAACAAGTTCATCATTTGCTGTTCTGGCATGATGTAATGGGTGTTTTTGTCCACAATTTGATATACTACAGACTAATTACTCGATTATTCAAGAGAGTAATGGGAAGATATATAAGATCTATTATGAAAATAATCATTAGTTGCAGATATTTCCATGAACTTGCCACGACATGCAAGATCCTGATTCTGATGTTTCCTCTAGCTCTAACATGAAGTTGCTATTTGTGGTTTTAGGTGAAATGTCTCAACAGATTTTGGATGGATTGCTGTGCAAAAATCATCCCCTGCAAAACTGTAGACTTTTCTTTCTTTTTTTCTGACATGGATTTGATTGAAAGAGTCATGATAAAGACTTAAACTGCCCCTGAATGACAGTATGAATGTAATATTTCGCAGATGCTGAGACTTTTTGCTCACAGAGCCCACCCTCTGGTCTGTTGGCTTAGCTTCAGAGGAAAAGCTGCATGGTTACTGCCATTTATTATATTTTACGATATTTTTTATCATCGGGCCTTCATCGTTTTCTTTTATTGATTTCAAATAGCTGTTTACACAGGATATATGCAGTCTGAACTTTACAGCCTAGAACGTTCAAGCAGCATGTTTTATTTTCTGATCATCTGGCCTAGAAAGAATTTCACAGTTGTAGTTTATCAATAACTTAATGAAAACCCTGCAGTGGTCCGAGCTGATGTACAGTTGATGTGGCTGCATAAAAAGGAGGAAGTTAAATGGAATGAGACGCCCAGAAACAGAGGAGAAGAGGGCAGAACACAAGCATTTAAAGTAAGAAGTGAAAAGAAAGTGAGCAGTGAGAATGTTATCAGCGAGGATGTGCGAGTCTGCCAAAGTAGAAACCTGAGGCGAACTCAGAACTTCCTGAAAGACTGTATTGTCTGTTCAAACCCACATACCTCCATGTTGTCCTCATTTCTTTTTTCGGTTTAAGTGATGCTGGCCAAACAGTGCAAAATCCAGAGTGGAGATGCATCATCTGGCTTCCATGACACTGTCCTCTGCTGTTATCTGGCTTTAGATAAGTTAACACTATGACATCAGCTGACAAAAGACACGTTTCCAGTACCAGAGAACACTTTTTTTTTAAAGGCTGATCTTCCAACATGACCTCTTTTTTTTTAGAGTGGCTAATTGTCTGATTGTTTTATTGTATTTAGTTTGAACCGATGCCAGAACTACCTGTTAATGTGTGCTTGATGGTTGTGATAACTGCCCTGCTGGGTAACCTGAAATAACATCTGTTGGTTATTGATTTGCAGAGTTTGCCCAATGATTTTCTGACTTAATGTTACACCGTGGATGAGCACAAACACAGTGCCAGAAGATGTAGTGGGGTAGCAAGGCAGCAGTGGCTAACAGGAAAGGATCTGGGACTTGACATGTTGTTAGAGACAGTTTCACAGGTTTAAGCCGAGTTGGCAAGCACCGCCCTTCTGGAGTCTGTTTGAGAAAGACATTAGCTCTTGTTTTACATAACATCTGAGCACAAACCACTGATATGAATGCAAAGCACAGGGACACATGAATGGAGGACAAATAAACATCCACAAAGGAAACACCAGATTGGGACTTAACCAATCGCAGCTCAAGTCAAGTCAGTTTTTATGTGTATAGCAGCAATCACAACAGAAGTTATCTCAAGGCACTTTTCAAATAGAACAGGTCAATAATAATGTAATGATACCATAATGTAATGGTATCTATAATGCTCCTACTGATATAAGTAATAATGAAAGCTAATAACGGTAATGATAATAATTATTATTAATTATAGTAAATTACATTTGATAGAAAGCTCCAGGATTCATTGCAAGGACGGCACATTACATCCTCACCTACTGAGTCTCTATCAGTCCCCGGGATGCAGTTTGGTAGCTGAGCATGACCCCTGACCTCCCTGTTCAGAGGAAGTGTGTGACTTCTTCTTCAGTAACGCGCCACTCACCCATAACAAATTGCATGCATCCTGTACATGTGGTCCACGAGGCGCCTGAAGCAAAAAGCTGCTGCACAGTGAACTATGATGGTAAAATTAGCAGAAACTGGAGGTTTGTCATTTGCTGTGTTAATTGATTTGATTGAATAATTTGATCTGTTCTGAAATTTGCTCTCACAATTTCGAATGAAATGTTTTGTAGAAAACGAGTTTTCATGTGACTTTGTGTCAATGTGCTCTTTTAGTTGGATCTTCCCTTTCCACCAGTTCCTCCTCAACAGAGAGAAGAGTCATAAAACAACTTCACTATTATGCAACTGCCAGTAAAAACATAAAAACAGCGATCACTATCTTGTTTTTCCAAAAATGGAGAGCACATGATCATGAACCTGAAATATCAATAGATGTTTGGCTGGAACTGCCTATTGATCGACCAAACGTTGGACCTCTCCCATTGGCTGTTGCAAATTCCAAAAGATTCAGCACGAACGTTTTCTATCATGTCGTCAGAGGGTGTTTATAGTGAATCCTCATAATAGTTATTTCTGTTCTTGTTGAATCATAAATCTCTGCAGCAACAGGTGACTTCACTACAGTCTCCTCTATTCCAGTTCCAGATTACAGTCAACATTGTTCTACAAAGGTTCATCAGTTGCGTGTCCACTTCAGCAGCTGCTTCCCCAAAATTCGTGTGTGAATGTTGTAAATTTCTGGTGAACTGTTTGTTTTTGTTACAAGGTAAAGTTTTGAAACACATCACGTCATCACATTTGTTTGTGTGTGTGTGCTGATTCTCAGAAGCAGATAAAATGTCTGCATTTGTTTTTTTCTTTTTGTTGTTGTTGTCATCTCAGCTTTCCCCTTTTGTTGTGTTTCATTCTTATATATTGATTCTTGACTTCTGTCCAGTAAAACTAGAGTGCAGTCCTTCCGTCGTATTCAAATGCAGCTAGCAAACTAAAGACAAACGAATACATCTTTATTTCTTCTTCTGTGTGTGTCTGCTCAGGTGGTGACGGGTGCAGGGCGCTGTCATGGCGATGCAGCGGAAGAAGCTGAAGCTTGGGGTGACAGTGATGATGGTCAACCTCTTCATTTTCATCCTCATTTTCCGACACAGCGGTCAGGACAAGAACGGGCGTCACAAGGTCCAAATCCCCTCTGAACCCTTCTGGGCCAAACTGGCTCCTAACTTGGCTTACTGGAACCGCCAGCAGCAGATTCGAGACCTTCAGAACAATCCCATCCTGACGGCGAACTCCAGCGGCGTGGACCTGCCTGATTGGGTTGGTGAGCCCACTTTGACCTCTGTCCCCTGCGAGCGTAACATCAGGGTTACCACTCAGGTGAAAGACTACAACTCGCTACCAGACCGCTTCAAGGACTTCCTGCTTTACATGCACTGCCGCTCCTACCCGATCATGGTCGACCAGCCCGATATCTGCAAGGAGCCGCCGTTCCTTCTCCTGGCAGTCAAATCCCAGGTATCGCACTTCGACCGCCGCCAGGCCATCCGGCAGTCCTGGGGACGGGCCGGGGTGGTAGCCAATAAGACGGTCGTTACTGTCTTCCTTCTCGGCAATGCCACAGCTTGGGACCACCACCCAGATCTATCCAGCAGTCTGCGGGATGAGAGCGCCCGCCATCAAGACATCATCCAGTGGGATTACCGGGATTCTTTCTTCAACTTGACTGTCAAAGAAGTTCTGTTCCTTGAATGGATCCAGACTCGTTGCCCCGGCGCCCGCTTCATTTTCAAAGGAGACGACGACGTCTTTGTCAACACCTACCGCATTCTGGACTTCCTCAAGGGCCTCTCGGTGCCCAAAGCAAGGGACCTGTTTGTGGGTGACGTGATCACCGAGGCGGGGCCACACCGAGACAAAAGGGTCAAATACTTTATCCCAGAGAGCATGTACATCGGGAAGTATCCTCCATACGCAGGAGGCGGCGGGTACCTTTACTCTGGTGACATCGCCGCTCGTCTGCACGGTGTGTCACAGCATGTACCGCTCTACCCGATAGACGACGTCTACACAGGTATGTGTATGAAGAAGCTAGGGCTGGCCCCCGAGAAGAACAAAGGCTTCAGGACATTTGACATAGAGGAGAAGTACAGGTCGAACCCCTGCGCCTACAAGAGCTTAATGCTCGTTCACCCGAGGACCCCGCAGCAGATGATCCAGATCTGGACGTGGCTCAGTAGCCCTGACCTGACCTGTCAGTGAGGACTCCACAGCACCCACTTTCGGACTGACTGAAATGGCCTTTGGTGTTGTTCCCAAAAGGTCAAAGTGAAAATAATTTTATCTTGAGCAGGGTCACGGCTCAAAAGTTGGCAGCTTTAAGTTAAGATATTATTATAATGGTCACTTGGAGCCTCAGCTTGGTGCAACTGATGCATTATACCTCTCAAAATGACCAACATAGTATTTTGACTTGATGTCAGACTTCCATAGATTCCATAACCCTGCTTTACTGTGTCAAATGAGCGTTACCCAAAGTGACCGTGTCTTTCTTTTGCGTGCACATATTTATATCACAACTATTTATATGGCCTTCAAAATGCTTTAACACTGTGTGTCGGCTCCATGGTGGAGCGTCTCAATGCTGTATTATATAAACAAGAGACTAAGACCTGGGAGGTGTCCACCTGGGACTCTCTTTGTTGTTTGGAAAAGACACTGCGTCATGTTTCCAGCACCGAGTGTCTGCATATTTCAAAAGTACATAAAAGAGTGAGTTCTTTGTAAAAAAACCAGTGGTTCCCACATGCAGCAGTTTATTGCTGCTGGCTTTCAAAGAGCTTCCTGGTGAACACTTCCCAGTAATTGTTGCTGGAGGCTTAGTTTGTGCTGCTATTCCCATCCACACTCCCTAAAGTATTTACTTGTGACTCGCTCCAACTCAAACTCTGCCAGTTTCGCCTCCCGAAGACTTGAGGAAACTCTGATGTTTGTTCGTACCTGACCAGGTAACCAGTCATTCAGTCTCCCAAAAATCCATAGGTTCCGCTCTTAATTTTATTTATTTACTCCGATTCCCATAATTTATACTGTCTGACATTATTGCGACGTGTTCCCACAAAAGTTCAAATCATGATCAACCCTTGAAATGGGGAGTTTGGTGGAGTGGATACACACTTTGTTTTCAGGAAATAAGGGGACGAGGAGCCCAGCTCTCTCCGGCTCCGCGGGTCGGGCCTGGGCTTGACACGGATGGAGAAATCTAAATGCTGTCTAATTCTGCTTCAGGTTCTCACCTTACACGAAAAGAAAAACAGCTGATATGAATCCCAAGTGCATTTTCAGTGATACGTACATAAACATTTCCAGCTGCCAGAGTAGAGCTTTCTGTATGACATGCTCACTGTAACTTGCTTTGTGAAGTTGTGGTGTTAAAAGTGTTAAATGTTGTTAAATGTTGCTTTACTGTGACGTCAGTGAATCAGAGTCAGAAATGCTTTAAAACACAGGTGGAACCTCACGTCTAAGCTACTTGTTTGCGCTCTTGTTACTTGACAAATTGGCTCTGCAATGTTCACTGATCATTTTAAAATCTTTCAATTTTTGGAGCTAAAGATTAATCATTAAAAAAAAAAAAAAAAAAAATCATGATAATTCATAGCTCCAGATATATTTAGTAGTTTGTTCCACCTTCTTTCCAGGACTTGAGAGAGTTTTAAAATGGCTGATAACACGTTTGAGAAGGAAAGTCTTTATTTGAAGGTCACTGCTCAGCTCACTACTGTACGGCTTTAGCACAAACGCTGTCTTTCACAGAGTGTTGCACATATTTACATTTATGTTATATGTTGTTTTGTTGGTTTTGTTTTGTTTTTTTTTTCAGCTGTAGATGAGACACAGCCCGACACTTGACACAGTTACGAGTTTTTCAGATGCACCTTTGTGATATTACAGAGGTTTCAACGACCACAGAGAAGGTGATGCTCTGAGAACGGTCGGAGAAGTGAGTTACATATGTCTTTACCCAGGTTTGGGTCGGTCCGTCTTGATTCATTTTGTTGGATGGATTTCCTTCAGTATTGTTACTCGGTCCGTGGAGTCGACACTGACAATAAGTGGCACAAATGTCGGTTTCAGTCACATGTTTGGATTGACCCTGAACCTGCTGGTTACACTTGTGCTGTGACAGAAGGGCAGTGTTCCTCCGCCTCTGTTAGAGCTCCCCCTGCTGGTCAGGACGGTGATCTTTAGCTTGTAGCAGACATTGGCAACTCCATGATCCAAATCTGTAGTATAACATCTAATTTATTTTTTCATATTTTCTTGGTCCTTTAGTCTTCAGATACTTTAAATTAACAGCTTCTCTCTCTGTTTTATTGTTTGTGTCACTGTAATTTGACATTTGTAACTACTTCTTCGTGGTTACTTTTAACCTGCATTGGTTTCAGATTGCTGATGTTTGCCACCCGAGAAAAAACAAAATGAATTAAGACAATCACAGTATTGTTCTTTAAAGATGTGTTTTGATAATGAATTTCTTGGAATTACCAACTTGTTAGACACTATTCTTAACTACCCACACGTGGTCAAATCCGTCTGTCTCCATGTAGGATAAAACAAACACTAAATAAAGGAGACAAAATAAGAGCCAAGAGCCGAGTGGAGCTAATTTCATTCTTCGTAAATATTTAAGTCAAGTTTTGTTCTCTGGGTCATGTGTCATCAACATCTTCACTGTGGTTGCTCACCACTCACATACCAGTAATAAATTACATTCTGTCTGTTCTGCAAAGAATTTGCGGCTACTTGAAATGTTTACATGTTATTAAACGTTATCGTCACTTCTTTTTATGATAACTACTCATGTCTGATGATTGGCTGTAGAGGTGTAAGCAGCTTTCTCTATGTTTTACTGTCTGTTTCTATGTTTGAATGTAACCTCTCACCGCCACTGCGCCCAGCACAGCTTAGCGGTGTGTTCTGACAGTCTGTGTTTCTTGGAAACGTGTCAAGACAAAAGGAGAAAATGTCCAGAAAAAAAGAATAATATCCGATAGAATTTTAACAAGATCAATAAGGAGTTATCATGTAATAAGTGCACGAGTGTTGCGGGATATAAAATGTTCAAAATGTTCAAATTGCCCAACAAACAGCTGAATGTTACAACGATCATTACAATGACTGTTTAATCATGTGTCTCTTCTCGTCTCGTCTTTTGTGACCCAAACACATTGTGAGTCATTTTCAGAAGAATCCTTGCTTCCGTTAGCCATTATGTAACGTTCTGTTTGTTTTGTTTTGTTTTGTTTTGTTGCGTCACCCTCCTGTTAACATGAACTTCAGAAACCTGACGTCTTTGTGTTATACAACACCTGCACTAGTCAGAGATGATTACCAAATCTGTGCCTGATGTTTGTACGTACTGTATGTGTAAGATTATCGTTCAACCATGTTAAGAGTGATTTGCTTTTTTTTTTTTTTTATCACCTAGGATGACTTGATAATTTGAATAAAGTTATATTTTGCTGTTTTTGTATATATCGTTCTATGCATTTTTATTGTCATACAAGTTGTATCTTTGCAACACCTGCGAGTAGTTTCTTTTATTTTAAATGTTATGTCCAAACAAGTCTAATGCCTCACTCACCCCTGCTGTCCCATCTGAGAGGGCTGATCTTAAGTTTAACTTCATCTTCAAACCAACCAGTTCAGCCACTGTCAGGAAAACATAAAACGATTCTTCTTCTATGATTCTTGTTTTAGTGGTTTGCAACTCTAATGTTTTCTACTTGTGACCCCTTGTCAAAGATCCTGTGTGGACAGGCGTCAGAAAGGCGACAGCACTTCCTTTGGATTGTTTCATTTGAAGGATGTTCAGAGACATGAGGAGGTGAGAGTATTCTGTAATCCACAAAAAAACAATATTTAGTGCAGCAGAAATATCTGGTGACCCCTCCAGTTTCTTTACTGGAAACTAAAAAACATAAAACAAAAGATTCATTTCTGAGGATCGTTACTGCAGCTCATAGAAGAGGTCAGTGATGCAATTTGGAAACAAGAAAATATTTAGATCATAGAACGATTGGCTGGTGTATCTCTCCAGCAGAGGGCAGCAGTGTATAAAGTGCCAGGGGACTGTTACCTGCTGTATCACACAGTTCAAGCTGCAGCATTAGATCCTGGTGTCTGTCTCTCTCCACATGTAGTCCAACTTGAAGGCGGGAATATAAATAAAGATTGTGGGTTAAACTCTTGAGAAAGAAACTTGTCATGTTTTGTAAAAAAAAAAAAACTTAAAAATAAATTATACATGAAGAAGCTGGTTAGTTTGGATTATTAGTTTTTATTGGACAGTGAATAAACTCATTGAAATGTTTGTCAGTGTGACTGGTCAGCTGCGAGGAGATGCAGCACAATGGTAAAAGTAGGATCCGCCCATCTCTATGTGAAAGTCTGGTTTTATGCATCTATGTTAACTAGAGCCGTCCGTTATTTTAATCATCTGTGATCTCCAAGTTGTAATGTCTTTTCACAGGGAGGGTGGAGCTGCAGAGCTGCTCTGCTGAGATTCACTCCCTCAGTCTGAGTCTGAGGCAAAAGGTTTTGTTGGTAGAAAAATGAGAGAATCCGGGTAAAAACAGCTGAAGTCTACATGTTGTGTTGCTTCCAGTTCATTCATATCATTCATGTGTTTCACCACTGGGGATCAGAAGTTTTACTCGTGGTCGGTGGCGTCAACGTGATGCTAACGCTGTTGCTGAAAATGCTTTTGGAAAGTAAACAGCGTGAGACTGTGGGGTCAGAACAAACCGATACCAGGAGCAGCTTTTCCCCGAGACAAACTCATTGCCCTTTCTTCTCAAGGGTGTTTACCCTACACCTCTTCAGGGAAGGATGGGACATGGTTGTCATGGTGACCATATTCCTTCAGGCGGATGCAGTCATCCCCTGGTGCAGGTGTGGGGGCACAAAAAGGTTCACGAGGGATATATATAGTGTGTGTGTGTGTGTGTGTGTGTGTGTGTGTGCGTGCGTGCCTTCTCCACCCACTCACTGTCTACTGTTATCTCACAGATAATGATCCAGTGGCCTTTTAAGGGAAAAACATTTAAAAGAGACAAATGGTTTTCAGGCTTCAGCTCTGGTTTAACAGATCTTGTTCTTCGCCAGGAAAGATTCAGATTCCACGTAGTGAAACGGTCTGAACCAAAAACAACACGGCCTCTGCTCCGTCTGAGACTCTGCACCTCACAGAAGCAAGAAACATGAAACCAGTGGGTTTTTATTTTTTAAAGTTAACGTATTGCGTAACGCTTCGACAGTAAATAACATTTTATTACATCAGAGCATGTTTTACTTGCTGTCCGATGATGAGACGGTAGGTGAACCTGACGAATCAGAGCACAGAAACGGCAGTGTCTCGATCTTCTTCACTGTATTATCTGAATTCATCTCTTAAGCTTCACCGCGAAGCATCTACGTCCTACATGAGGATTACAACCAAAAACACCACGACTGATTATTCACGGCCATCTTCTCGGCTCCCATGGCGACTGGAGTGGCATCGTGGTGTTTTTGTGTATTTTTAGGTGGCCCACCCTGGAACACGGTTTCCCTTTCCTTTCAGACCTGACAGTTGCATCCTGTTGGCAGGGGTTTATTCTTCGGAGGACATCGACACTCTCACCATCTTAGAATTAAGCACAAAGTGTTTTTGAACCTGTGGCACCTTTGAACGGTCCCTGCTTGTGTCATGTCCTGCCATGACATCCTGTCTGAACTCAGAGAGACACAGAGGAGTCCAGAAGTCTGAGACCGCTTTCCCATACGTTTGAATTATTTTGCCTCGGCCCCCGCATACACCATCCTGCTGCTGTAAATACTCACCACAACACCGAATGTGTGTTCATCCGCCACTGAAAATAGTCCCAGACGAATGTACCACTTCTTCCTGTTTGAGTTACGTTTGCTAAAAACTATAGCGCCCAGCTGTGCTTTATGAGAATTATCACCATGGCTCAAATGCATCAGGTTGTACAATTCAAACTAAAGAGTACCCAGCTGAAACAAGCAAAGCTTTCTGGAACAAAAGGACTTTCATTCTGCTCCAGTTCTACCTTTTTTTTTTTGGCAGCAGCAGGATTGTAGGATGTTCCAGATGAGGGCACAGCTGGAAAACGACTCTTTTCATTCACACACGTCGCGGTGGGGTGGGGTTTGCAGCAGAGGTCACATACGATACTGTGTATGTGTATGACACACAGCTGCTGCTAGAAGCCTCTGAAGCAGCGGGAAGTTGATTTGTTACCTGAAGCCTCTGAATCCAGAGAAGCCCCACCCGCCTGGTGCTAAATGTAGTGTAAAACAAACACCAGGGATCATTTGAAGATGTTTTCTGATCCAGATCTGGATGAGGCTGAATCAGCGAGCGACAGCTGAGTCATTCTGACCACTGAGCAGTTTTCCTCTTTCTTCTCCAGCAGAAGGATTTTCAGCACATTTAGCTCAGTGTTATTACACTCAAGGACTTGAAGGAGTTCTCTCTCCGGTGTCTGACTTTCCTCTCCTTCTGTCTGTTGTTTTGTTTTGATTTGATTTCCTCAGATCTGTATTAACATCTTCTTCATAAATTCTCCATGTTGTGATGGTTGTTGCTGACGACATGATGTTAATTTCACAGTCAGAGTGGAGCGCAGCTGGAGTGTTGAACGCAGCCTTTTCATTTTAACTGATTATTTGCATCTCACTCCATCAGCCTCAGGATTAATGCGTCGATTGTTAAAGGGATACAAGATAGCACACCAGGTGTTTGTGTTGTGGGACACATCTGGTGGACTTTAAACAGACTTTAAAGCAGACAGCTCATCTGATCAGTCCACAATCTAAACTGCTGTAACTGCTCATTTTCATTTAAATGAGTAAAAGTTGGGATTAGCCTCCAGGAGACGACTGAGGGAAGATAAACTCAATCAATCTTCAGCTTGGATTTGATTGGATGACGGTCTACAAATCTGACTGCTGACGGTGATGATCAAGTCTAAACGGAGAGAAACGCTGACTCCATCCTGACTCACGGGTGACATCATCAGCACGCTACCGGGAAGCCGAGATGATAAACTGGATTTTAAGTTCTCGGAAATTGATGGGAGCAGCAATTTTCTCCCTCACACACACACACACACACACACACACACACACACACACACACACACACACACACACACACACACACACACACACACACACACACACACTAATGGGCTGATCTGTACTCTGGGGTCCCAGGAGGTTTTACTTCCTTCATCTGTCATTGAAATGAATTTAATCTCTCTGAGACTGAAGCAGCAGCAGCACCTATCACATATACACACACACACACACACACACACACACACACACCCACACACACACACACACACACACACACACACACCCACACACACACACACACACACACACACACACACCTTTTCTCCATCCCTTTTTCACCTACTGAGACTTTTGGACCCCACTATATACAATCACAACCTACATTTTTAAAGTTTGTAGAGGCTACACAAAGCCTCTGGCATCGACTGCTGCCCACAGATAAAAAAAGAAAGAAGAAGTGAAATGTCTTCAGGCTAAATGGATCTGTATCCTGCAGCGCTTTGTTGAAGGAAGAAGAGCCGACATTAATCACAGGGAACACCTCCGACTCCTCCACCAATCCAGCAACATTTTCATGGAAGCAGAAGAAAGAAGGAAATAAGAAAAGCATGAACACACTGACGCTCAAAACATTGTTTAAGCTGTCAGATCTTTAAAGCTGAAGTTCGACATTATGGAAATTCACATTTTTTTATTTGAGATACTGAAACTCATCACATTACAGTCTGATTCCTACAACAACAAAAAACCTTGGAAAGTTTTTCTTTTTCCCCACTTTTTCCGAACTGGAGCAGGAGAAGTGGAGGAAACAGTGGGTCACAGCGAGAGTGGAGGTTTGCTCGGTGAAGGATGTGACACGGAGGGAGTGACTCACCGCTCTGATCCAAATCTCCATTTTTCCAGCTAAATCACCACAATGCAGGGAAATGTCTCTGTTCGTGGATGTTTTGAATGTCACCGTATGACAGGCACTGGTTCAACCAAAGAGATTCTGCTGTTTGAGATATCAGTCTGTAAATGGGACGATCCTCAGAGATCCTGAAAATGAGATACTGAAAAACTTCTAACAGCAAACTTGTCTTTCCGTAATCAGTACGTGATCTGTTCAATTTGTTGTTCATGCAATGGGAAAGTTATTTTATATTTCTTATATTTCATTTGTCTATATATTGGATGCAAACAAACGAAGCCCTGTGAATGAAAGTGACAACGAACAAAATATATTCTCAGGAAACGATGCACGGACATGATGCTGGAAAAAAGTTTGTGAGCTTAGTTTTAGTGCATCAGGATTCTGTCAGAAAGGATGTTTCAGACACTGTGAGACAATCCAACAAACGTTTCATTTCAAGTTTCCCGAGGCCTTCAGTTCGGTTGCTCTTCTTC